TCTGATCTCTCTGCAGGTTATGCTCCGGTCACAGGGATGTGTCACCTGCATCGGAGCTGCGTCCTCGTCATTGAGGATGGTTTCTCCTCAGCCTTTGTAGCGGCTCATGAAACAGGACACGTGTGAGACACAAAAACACTCTAACTTCATTCATGTTTGTAGTCAGAACTACAAATCAGTCATAATTCAAACATTTTTCAAGAGGACAGTTTAAAGCAACAGTCAGATGAGTCAAAGGTGTACAAGACAGTAATGGACCTCAAGGTGTCCACAAAGACATGATAAGAACTCCAAGAGGAGCATGAACAAATGAGAAGAGTGAACAGTGTCCGCATAGACACGATAAAACCAGGTGTCGTCAAGGAGTCAGTTTGGACTACCAATTTTGACCCCCAGGTGTCCAATTAAAGATGATAACGACTCCTTGATGTCCAAAAATAGATAATTTTTTACCCCTGGTGTCCATGATGAATTAGATGACAGTGACTTCAAGCTTTCATGATAGAGAACTAAAAGACTCCAAGATGTAAAAACAAATGTCTGTCTGTCTGTGTGTCTGTGTGTCTGTGTGTCTGTCTGCCTGCCTGCCTGTCTGTCTGTCTGTCTGTCACAGGTTAGGGATGGAGCATGATGGCGAGGCTAACGACTGTGAGGATGACGTGGAGTTGGGAAGCATCATGTCTCCACGAGTTCAGGCCACCTTTCATCGATACCACTGGTCTCGCTGCAGCTGGAGGGAGCTGCACCAGTACCTGCAGTGAGTCCTAAAAACAGTACTACAGTATACTGAATGTAACAAACAGTACTACAGTATACTGAATGTAACAAACATTGTCACTGTATACTTACTGTGACCCAAAGGAGACACTGTGTCCTAATTGACTCCACCCCTTTCTCCCTGTCATCAGAACCTATGACTGTCTCCGTGACGACCCGTTTAACCACGATTGGCCCGCTCTACCTCAGCTGCCGGGCTTTCAGTACTCCATGGACCAACAGTGTCGTTTCGACTTCGGACCGGGATACAGTCTGTGTACTGCAGTAAGTCTCAATGCTCACCTGTTTGTGTCCTTATCTGTGTGCTCACCTGTCTGTCTGTTCACCTGTCTGTCCACTCATTGTTTCCATGAAAACAAAACCCTGCTGGACACAAAGATCCTGTCACTGAGACTCTTGTCCTTTGGGTTAGAGTTAGATATTGCTGAATTCTGTGATAAATCTAGATGAACCGGAGGACGTTTAGTGAAGAACAAAACTAAGGAAACATTTACAGTCTAACTTTTAGAATGAAACAAAGTGACTCTCTGAACTGAAACAGGAGATTTTTGTTTTCTGGTGTTTTTGTGAGACTGTGCTGCACAGATGTGACTCTTTGATGTGTGTTTTGATTGGACGGCAGCAGAACATCTGGTCAGAATGTCTGAACATTTGATGACATCATACAGAAACCTTACCCGGGAGACTGATTAACACTACAGATCTTTCATCTGATGACGACTTTATTCTGGATGTTTCCAACAGTTCAGCCTGATGATGAAATGATTGTGTTGTACATTTGAACGAAGTTACATACTACATGTAAAACATTGTAAACACAGGAAAACCAACCGGGGACACAGAGTCATCAGTCAAAGCTTCTACAACCTGTTACATCTTCTTCCAACACCTTTAATCTTTTTTTTTTGTTAAAGATATATTTTGGGGTTTTTTTATGCCTTTAATTGAGAGACAGGACAGTGGATAGAGTTGGAAATCAGGGGGAGAGAGTGGGAAATGACATGCAGAACAGGAGCCACGGGCCGGAGTTGAACCGGGGCCTCCCGCCTGGAGGACCAAAGCCTCCATACATGGGGCGCACACACCACTGCGCCACCAGTGCCCCCCAACACCTTTAATCTACTTGAAAATGATTTAAAGAGACCAGCTCCCCCAGACACATATTTTCCTGCAATAGATTTCAACTGCAGGAGACACAAAACGTAAACAAATTTTTAATGTAATTTTTCAACTCATCCATTCATACGCATCCACACACTGATGGTAGAGGCTGCTTGGTAAAGAGTCCATCAGTATTAACTCATCCATTCATACACATTCACACACTGATGGTAGAGGCTGCTGTGTAGAGAGACCATCAGTAGTAACTAATACAGGAGGAGCTGGGGATTGAACCTTTGACCTTCAGGTTGAGTGGTGACTGACTCTCTCACTGATCCACAGCCGCCTCATAAAGAACCACAGCTGCAACTTCAACAACTTTATGAGCTGCTGAATATAAACTTAGATTATCATGTTTACGATTAGTTTTTGTATTTTCACATGTTCTAAGTATCTTCACACACGTATGTTTGTCTGCAGTACACGACCTTGGAGCCCTGTAAGCAGCTGTGGTGCAGTGCGTACAACAACCCGTTCTACTGTAAGACCAAGAAAGGCCCGCCGCTCGATGGGACCAAGTGTGGACCAGGGAGGGTGAGGACAAGTTCAGGAAGTCAAGGGTTAATGTGTGGCTGCGGTCCAAACTGAGATATGTCTGATGGATGTGTGTGCTTCAGGACTTTATGTTCTCCCAACTCTGTTGATCTAGTGCCATCATCAGGTCAATATTTTAATGTATCCAATACTTTGGTTTATAAGCGCATACCTGCAGATTTGGTTTGACAGTTGATTTAACTAGAGCTCATGTTATTCATCTCGGTATTTTAGGATAACAACACAGGTGTCTCGATGATAAAGAGTTTATTACATGTGATCTAGAAAACGGCTGAAATTATCTGGTTATTAAGGCAATGTTACAGTGAAAATAAAATAAACAAGCCCAGACCTCAAGAAAATAACTTGTATTAACTTGATATCACAGGAAAACTGAGTTAAATCAAACGTATGGATCCATGTCCTTTTAGGATACGATACAGGACCATACAATAGAAGACGAGACCATAAAAGATGATATGATACAAGGCCATATGATAGAAGACGATACGATTTGATACAATACAAGACCGTATGATAAAAGACCATATGATAGAAGACGATACGATACAAGACGATACGATAACATTTTATACGATACGATGTGAAACAAGACGATTGAAGTGGATACAATACAAGGCAATACAAGATCATGAGAAACAAGGCGAGAGTATTAGATAAGAAACAATTTGATACACTTTATTGACGCTTGGGGAGACTTTGACTCGGGCTTCAGTAAAGAACAGATCTCAAAACGTGCTGTTAATATGTATATAGGTGTTGGACTGCAGCAGTACTACACGTAAATAATTATAAGGCTCATAAACAGATGTCCTGATGATGTCACGGTCTGTTGTTGCAGCACTGCTTTAAAGGTTATTGCATGAGGCTGACCCCCGACATGCTCAGACAAGATGGCGGCTGGGGAACATGGAGTCCATATGGGCTGTTCCAGGACCTGTGGAGGCGGGGTCAGGTTTCGGACTCGCCGCTGCGATAACCCAGCGTGAGTAGGCAGTTAACAATTGGTGATGTCACAAATCAGATGCACCAATCAGAGAATCTAACCTGTTGTTGTTCTCAGTCCAGCCAACGGGGGGCGCACCTGCTTCGGAAACAGTTACGAGTTCCAGCTCTGCAGCCAAGAAGAGTGCCCCCCCCTCACTGACTTCAGGTGAGAAGGTCTACTGTTCACTCTGTTATCGATTAACTATCACTGACTTCAGGTGTTCGCTCTGTTATCAATAAGCTATGACTGACTTTAAGTGTTCACTCTGTTATCAATTAGCTATGACTGACTTTAAGTGTTCACTCTGTTGTCAATTAGCTATGACTGACTTCAAGTGTTCACTCTGTTATCAATTAGCTATGACTGACTTCAAGTGTTCACTCTGTTATCAATTAACTATGACTGACTTCAAGTGTTCACTCTGTTATCCGTTAGTAATTATTATATAAACTGTATAAAAAGATGGACAACATGGCAGCTCCCTAAAAGTGAAGCCAAACATTTCAGAGCTCCCCCTGCTGGCTGGCTGCAGTGTAGCTCATTAAGCTCTGCCTCCTCCATGTTAACAGATGGAAGTTGAGTCAAGCTATAAAGTGAAAACACTTTTCAGATTAATGTTTGGTTTCTCTCTTTAACGTTAGTTATTTGATATAAGAAAGACCAGATGCAATGTTATGATTGACAGCTGTGTTGACCAATGAGACTCCTGCGTTGCTGTGTGCCGGATTATCAGAGTAGAGTAGGAGAGGAAACGTAACAAACACAAGAGTCACTGAACTGTGAGTGACTTCTTGAAACAGACACAAGAATCTGTTCTGCTGTGGACTGAACCCACCTGAGCGACCTTTGACCTTTTGGCAGGAGGTTGAAGGTATGTTTTGGTTAAATACTGCTGCGCAGGCTGACTCCACATGAACGACATGTCAGCTCCTGTCACAGGGAGAGTTTGGCTTCACAACAGGAGAAGATGTAGACGTGTCATCCATCTTTATGAGTCAGTGACAATGACTTCAGGTCAGTTTTATTTCTGATTTACTGATTTATTGTTGTTGTTGTTGTTGTTGTTGTTGTTGTTGTTAACAGGGAGGATCAGTGTAAAGTCTGGAATCCATTTTTTGAACATGAAGGAATGAAGCATCACTGGCTGCCTTATCAACACCCTGACCGTAAGTACACACATTTAAATACACACATTTAAATACACATTATATACACACATGAACTACACATCCACCCATTTTTCCAAACTGAAGATTAAATGAGTTTCCTCTTTGTGTGTGTGTGTGTGTGTGTGTGTCTGTTCAGATGTTAATGTCATCAGTCAGGAATCTGTTATAAAAGGAAACTTGTGGTCACTCGTCTTTAACTCTTTACGCTCTGAATAAATATTTAGTTTTCTCTCTTTGAACTTTGAACATTCCACCTTAAAAGTTCCTCCTTAAACTCTGAATATGATGTATAATGATTTTATGTTGGTGTGTGTGTGTGTATGTGTGTGTGTGTGTGTGTGTGTGTGTGTGTGTGTGTGTGTGTGTGAGTGTGTGTGTGTGCGTGTGTGTGTGCGTGTGTGTGTGTGTGTGTGTGTGCGTGTGCAGCTGACGAGCGCTGCAGTCTGTTCTGTCAGTCCAAGGAGACGGCGGCCGTGGTTTCCATGAACAGAATGGTGCATGATGGGACGCCGTGTTCCTACAGCGACGCCCACAGCGTGTGCGTGCGAGGAGAGTGTGAGGTCTTTATTTTCAGTTTCTCGTTAGTCTGTTTTTTATATTAAGGAAGTTTTATTGGTACAAAAAGTCTGACATGTGTCCAACAGATATGAGTCCAAACAGGAAGTACCGATAAATCACTAAACACTAAGTGTGTTTACAAGATGTCTAAAAAGCTCATTTGTTATTTCAGTGCGACTCAAATTGGACTTTTACAATCCGTGTAAAACTAAATCAAACTTCTCACAGTCGGACTAAAACACCTGGATAACGTCCGTGATTACACCTCAATCAGAACCAAACTGGACTGGACAATCTGAGCATGCTCCACAGTTACCGCGCTGGGTGTTGACCCGGAAGTCGAACTGCATTAATGTGTAAAAGAACAAACTGTGATGAAGGTATCTACATGGTGAAGATTACGAACAAAATAGACAGGAATCTCATTTATAAATATGCACACCATGGGGCCTGAAACTGGCGTACGCCACTTCCCACACAAAGTTTGTGATCACCTTCATCCTCACGGAGAGCCGACAGCTGGACTGAATAATAGAGTCAAGCTGATCTGTTGTCGTCCTCTGTCCCTGTGCCCGGGCGAGCTGACATCATATGTTTATAGTTCATAACCAACTCACACGATCTTTCCTCAAATAGAACATATTCCAAAGAACTGCTCCACACTGCCCCTATGACTTCTGATGGTATTGCAACATTTGGTTTGTGTCCGTAAGCTTCTAGAAAACCCAAGTCCTCCTTAGTCCGCTAAGATCTCCTCTTCTTCTCTGTCCTTACTTCCTGTCTACTCTTGCAGCATGTGGGCTGTGATGGACAGATTGCGTCAGACCAGCAGGTGGACCGATGTGGAGTCTGTGGAGGAGATAACTCCAGCTGTAAGATCATCAAAGGAAACTTCACCCGCAGCACCAAGAAAGCAGGTCTCTGAAAAACCTCTAACCACTTCAGGCTGCAGTCACTAAAAAGAACTACCTCTGGAATAAGTCATTATGTTCCCATGGTCCAGGTTACCTGAAGATCCTGGAGATCCCTAAAGGAGCACGTCACCTGCTGATCCAAGAGTTCAGAGAGACTCCTCACATCCTGGGTAAGAGGGAAGGGGGGCTTGTCATGTCAAACACACAGAGGTTAGAGTTCACCATTTGTGGAATACTTTTTTAGACAGTTTCTTTCTCCAGCTATGAAGAACCAGGAGACGGGTCACCTCTTCCTGAACGATGAGGACGAGCTCCCTGACTCTCGAGTGTTGATTGAGAAAGGTGTAGTTTGGGAGTACATCAACAACGAGGAGCAGGAGTCCATCCAGACCACAGGACCACTGAAATATGGAGTCCTGCTCATGGTCAGTGTCCTGATGAGGGAGTCCAATGTGCTGTCATTGTATCTGAATCTGAATGTACCATTTGCCTGTGTGTCCGTCAGGTACGTTCCCATGACGACTCCAAGGTGACAGTGTCCTATACGTACATCATCCAGGACCGTCTGTGGTCCTCGCTGGAGTCTAACCTGCTGCAGGAAGACGCTATCTTCTACGAGTGGGCCCTGAAGAAGTGGTCCCACTGCTCCAAACCCTGTGGGGGAGGTAAACTACTTTGTTGTAGTCAGCTGACTATGTGGTTACCAGGGCAACAGCTGCATGGTAGTTTACAGTATAGGGTCGGCAGTAGCTCAGTCTGTAGGGACTTGGGTTGGGAACCGGAGGGTTGCCGGTTTAAGTCCCGGCACAGACCAAGTCCGGAAATTGGTCTGTCACCTGGAGAGGTGCGAGTCCACTTCCTGAGCACTGCCGAGGTGCCCTTGAGCAAGGCAACTAACCCCAAAACTGCTCTGGATCGCTCTCACTCTGAGGCCTCTCCATTAATGCATGTCCACAGGATCCCGTTTGTGCATGTGTGTGTATTGTGGCCTATGTGTGTGTAGCACGTTAATTAAACAGAGTGTAAAACTGAATTTCCCCTCGTGGAATTAATAAAGTCTAAATTATTATTATCTGGTTGTCAGGGAAACAGTATACACGGTTTGGCTGCAGGAGGAAGGCTGATGGAAAAATGGTTCACAGGATGTTTTGCTCCAACATCAACAAACCGAGAGCAATCAGCCGCAACTGCAACAGCAACACCTGCAGCTCGCCACGGTAACGCACAATTACCATGGTAACACACTGCTGATACAGAGCTCATCATGTTCAGTTAAGGAGAGATCTGCTCCGGCACTACAGAGTCAAGGTTTAATCGAGTTTTGGATAGATCCTAAAAATTGTCCCATACTGGTACAAGAAGCACCAGAATCAGTTCCTCATAATGTGGGCTCCAAAAATTATTTAAGGAGCTGCAAGCCCTGAGCTGAGGTAGCAACTTCGGTGGACTGTTGGTGTACACAATCTGATCGTTGTCCTGCATTAGCTGGAAAGGTCACATTTCTACAGCTGCATTGGCAAAGATGACAAAAATTATGTTCATGAGTGGAAATATTTCATCAAAGTTCTGGAAAATTTGGGATTAGGTCTGTTACTTATAGCCTCGATTAAATTATTGTATGCTTCTCCCATTGCTAAAGTTCAAACAAACAGCACAATCTCTCAGCCCTCTCTCCCGCCAGGGTTGCCCACTGAGCCTGATTCTCTTTCCGATCTAGCAATTGAACCGCTCGCAATGGCTCTTCGGAACAGCCAGGGTGTCTCTGGTGTTTGGAGAGGGGGTACAGAGCATAGGGTGTCTTTATATGCAGATGATCTCCTATTATATGTTTCAGACCCAAATACCTCTCTTCCAGCAGTTCTCTCCCTGCTTGAGCAATTTGGATCTATATCTGGATACAAGGTTAATATGCACAAGAGCAAACTGTTTCCAATTAACAGAGAGGCGTTTGACTTAGACGACAGCGGTATTCCATTCCAAATTGAAGAGACACTATTTGGCTATTTGGGAGTGGTTGCTGCCCGACAATTTAAGAACATTTTGAAAAAAAATGTATTACCCTGTTAAACCAGGTCAGAACACCACTATCAAAGTGGTCCCCTCTCGCATTATCGCTCGCTGGGCGAATAAACTCCATAAAAATGAATATACTCCCAAAATTTAGATATTTGTTTCGGTGTGTCCCAGTACTTGTTCAGAAATCGTATTTTGTTTCACTGGATTCCATTATCTTCTCATATATATGGCAGGGCAAGAGGCCTCAAATTAGCAAAGCCCTGCTTCAGAGACCCAAAGGGGATGGAGGTTTGGGGCTCCCTGATTTCCATCACTACTACTAGGCTACCAGTATTCGTTGTATTGCTTTTTGGACTCGCTTTTATCTCCAGCCCGACAGTCCAGACTGGACATCTCTGGAGCTAAATTCATGCCGAGACATCTCCCTCCCTGCACTCCTCAGTGCGCCGCTTGACTGCCCCATACCAAAATCATTGGATAATCCAGTGGTACGTCATACCCTTCGGGTGTGGCCCCAATTTAGGAGATCCTTTCGATACAAACTCTTTTCCCTTTTGAGTCTGATTGCCTCCAACCACCTTTTCACCCCCTCGCGTTCTGACTCAACTTTTTGGACTTGGCATGAAAGGGGCATCAGATCGTTTGCGGACTTGTTTGAAGACGGCTGTTTTGTTTCCTTTAATCAATTGACTGAGAAATACAATCTACTAAAAACGCACTTCTTTCGATATTTACAGGTGCCTTTTTTCCCTTCAGTACCCATAGCTAACCCAATAGATACCTTTCTTTCCTTTGACCCACTGTCTAGAGGTGCGCTGTCCAAGTTACACAATATCAATTCGATGCTGATATGTTCACCACTGGACAAGATTAAGGCGGCCTGGGAACAGGACTTGGGACACATCTCTGATGACCAATGGGACTCCATTCTTTTATAATACATAAATCCTCAATCTGTGCTTGACATTGTCTACTTCAATTTAAGGTGGTCCACAGGGCTCACATGTCCAAGGTTAAGCTGTCCAGCATCTACCCCGATATAATTCCCACCTATGACAAATGCAATTATAGTGATGCTACCCTGATACATATGTATTGGCTGCGTCCTAAATTGCAGAAATTCTGGCATGACATCTTCCATACTTTACCTACAATATTAAAGAAAAATCAAAGCCTTAGCCCTACCCTTGCCCTGTGTTGCTAGTGGAGATAAACCCCACCTGACTTCTACAGAACACTGCATGGTCGCTTTTGCCACGGTCTTGGCCAGACGTGCAATCTTGCTGAAATGGAAGGGTGCTGCCTTGCCCACGCTTTACCAGTGACGTCAGGATGTAATGTCCTGTCTCAAACTCGAGATGTTATGTTTTTCTGTCAGAAGCTTGAAGAGGAAATTCTATGAGACATGGGAACCTTTCTTAACCAACACTCAAACTAAATCATCATGAGATGAACTTTGATCTGGCCCTTGGTATAAAAAGTAAGATCTGATTCTGTGTGGTGAGCTGCAAACTAACTCTTAGATATTACGCCTTAATTTTTTCAGGACAGCTGGGGATGGGAGGGTGGGAAGGGCTTTTGCACTTTATCAGGTATTACTGTCACTGCCACAGAGACTTGTTTGTCTTACTTGTTCTGCACATTACTATACCATTTGTGGCAATGTGAAATATTACTGCCCAACCCTGGTGTTTTCTATGTTTTATCATTCTTTTTTTGTATTTTGTGTTTATATATATATATATATGACGAAAACTCAATAAAGATATTCGAAATAAAAAATGATGTTCATGAATGTTAACGTCATGGTCAACCATTCAAATCAAACATTTGAAAGTTGTTTCCTAGAAATTACAAAAGCAGCTTCAGCAAACAATTTGATGTTTATAAAATGTGACATAGTGCTTAATATGACTACATGGTTTAAGAGTTTATGGACATAGTAGAAAATAAAAGTAAAGGAGGATATAACAACCGTAACATCCTTCTCTTTCTGACCTTCAGCTGGGTGACCGGAGAATGGGAGGACTGCAGCGCCTCCTGTGGTCAGACAGGGTGGCGACGGCGCTGGGTGAGCTGCCAGCAGGTGACCAGCACAGGACAGGAGGAGAAGGAGAAGAAGCAGCAGCGGTCGGTGCACAGCAAACTGTGTGGCGAGGACCGACCAGAAGGCAAACAAACCTGCAACCGTTTCCCCTGCCCCGCTGCATGGCGAGCTGGGCCCTGGACCCCGGTATTGAAAAAAAACAGGGGACTTTTCATAAACTCCAAATATTTATTTCACACTTTTGACACTTTCCACACCAGTCTTCGCTGACTGCATAAACCATCCATCGTTCTGGACTACTTAACACTTTATGGTTTTGCGGCCCAAACTTTCTTTTGAGACTACATCAATCATCCTTTTCTGCTGCCTCCCTCTAGTTTTGGATCTTATGTTGAATTTCTGTCTTTCTAGACTACTTCTAACTTCACTACCTGTAACTTTCGTCACTCTTGATTACCTCGTTCCACATTTCTTGGCCTACCACAATAACAACTCAAGAGCTGTGATATTTGAAGTTAAATATTAGTTTTGAACTTGGTCTGATTGATATCTGTTTGTTTGTAGTGTTCTGTATCATGTGGAAACGGGACTCAGGAGCGTCAGGTTGCATGTTCGAGTCCTGAGGGTTTAGTCCAAAACTGCAGCGAGCCTCGACCAATCACAAACCGTTCCTGCCTGGCCCCACCCTGCAGTGGTAGGCATGAACCAATCCAGTACTAATCAAGCAGTATATATTTGTGCACTCAAAAAAGCGGGTTTCAGTGTAACTAAATGTGTTTGTCTCCCCCTGCAGGCGACCAGAGGAACTCAATAATTCAGTGGTTGTCCAGATCCAACCCAGACTTCCCAGCTCTAAAGTCCCCTTCCAGTAAAAAAAAAACACAGACTCCTCCTCTTCCGGTCTTTTTTCCTAATTGTCTAGAATACTGTAACGATAAAATTCCTGTATGACAGTGCTTGTTGTTAGCTTTGGGCTCCCTTCGTTTTAATTCAATGACTCTTGTACCCTTGTAAATAAAAATGGTAAATTTGCACAAACTGCAGATATATATAGTCTTTAAACAGCTTAACTAATGATCCTGAAATCACCTGCTTGGACTCACTGATAACCTACTCTGTCTCCAGGGCAGCGTTGCCGTGGTGACCGCTCAGTGTTCTGTCGGATGGAGGTTTTAAGTCGGTACTGCTCCATCCCTGGATACAGGCAGATGTGCTGCAAGTCCTGCAATGAGATAAACTCCAGCAACTCCAGCAACCCTAGTAACTCCAGCAACCCAGATAACTTCAGCAACGTTAGCACAACAAACCCACCAACCACCAACATCAGGTGAGAGACAGGGTTGACAGGGGTTTTTCCATTATCAGCTATGGGCTAAATCACGGCTTATGCTGGCCTTACACCTAACAACGTTTCAAGCTATTTCAAAGCCATAGACAAACTTTTCAAGCTCCCATGATCTCAGGCCTCTTTGTCCTAAGAATAATTTGAATCCAAAAATCTATCCTAACCTGTTGTCTCTGATATTTATTATTCTTGTCTTGTAGTTCCTGGAGTTTAATCACAGAGATGATGACTGCGTCAACATCCTCTTGGTCCAACAGCAGCTACATCATCAGTGACATCATCGGTGACTTCAACAGCACTCCACCTGTTGATGTCAGTGTAACTCAACCTCCAACCAGCAGGATCAGCACTGACTTCATCTATGTGGACTACAATGATTATGATGATTTTTCTGCCTACGAGGATCCTTATATTCCCTCCGACCCAACTGAAATAATTTCAGTTATTACTACAACCACTGCTTCCACTACTACCACTACTACTGCATCTACTACAAGGCGCCCAAGAAGAACTGCCCCACCACATTTGTTCAAGAGGAAAACTACCACTCCAATATTGCCACATGCTACAGCTACTGCTGAGAGTACAACGTTGGTGCCTGTCAGGACGACAGAGTTCCCCATCACAACCACTGATGACATCATAACTACAACATCAGTACCCAACAAAACATCAGGGGGGCAAAGCCTTCAAACTAAAGATTATCAAACAAAAACGAATCCAACGCCAATATCCTCTTTCATACCGCTCTCCAAGAAGGAGAACAACTCGGTGGACGAGGTTCCATACCGGATTGTGGGATTGGACGGTGACATCTCCAGAGGACAGCAGAACCACTTTGTACCACGGATGCCTCCATTCCGGGAGCGAACACAAAACAAACGCATCCAGCAGCTCCTGAATGAGAGACGACGAAAGGACCTTTTGAGGAGGTCCGACGGGAGCCGAGAGGGCAGGACTGACAGGAAACAGGGAAGATTGTAAAAACTGGTTTGAATTTTATCGTTCACTCACAATGCCGCATGTCCAGCTTGCTCACTTCCTGCTAACGCTAATAAACTCTTCACGAGAAACAGAAACAGACTGTAGAGCTGAAAAAAACTGAAAAACTGATGATGATTTCTTTACTTCTTCCAGAAACCTTTGAAGCTGTTCAGACCAACAGTGAAGCAAGTCTTTAGCCCTTTTCAGAACGCCGTTTCAAGACACAATATTTACATCCCTGTTTCGCATTCAATCTAAATGTCACAGAGGCGTAATGGGGGGACCAAGTGATCCCTCCCTTCTGTACACCAATGTTACACCACCATGGAATCAATATGAATGTACGTACAAAGACGCGATGGCAGCTGAGCTTAGTTAGGATGCTTTTGCTGAAAGGCAGTCTGATTCAAGTATCTTTAGTTTGAATGTGGGATTGTGTGTTTTCGCCGTTGGTTAAACACAACCTTGTAATATTGGCCCTTCCAGTTTAACGACCTGTAAGCTAGGATCAGTACCAGGTCCCAGTTTGATGACCTGTTAGCTAGGTTCACTACCAGGTCCCAGTCTGATGGCCTGTTTGCTAGGATCAGTACCAGGTCCCAGTTTGATGACCTGTTAGCTAAGAGCAGAACCAGGTCCCAGCTTGATGACCTGTTAGCTAAGAGCAGAACCAGGTCCCAGCTTGAAGACCTGTTAGCTAGGATCAGTACCAGGTCCCAGCTTGATGACCTGTTAGCTAAGAGCAGAACCAGGTCCCAGCTTGATGACATGTTAGCTAAGAGCAGAACCAGGTCCCAGCTTGAAGACCTGTTAGCTAGGATCAGTACCAGGTCCCAGTTTGATGTCCTGTTAGCTAAGAGTAGAACCAGGTTCCTGTTTGATGACCTATTAGCTAAGAGCAGAACCAGGTCCCAGCTTGAAGACCTGTTAGCTAGGATCAGTACCAGGTCCCAGTTTGATGACCTGTTAGCTAGGATCAGAACCAGGTCCCAGTTTGATGACCTGTTAGCTAAGAGCAGAACCAGGTCCCAGCTTGAAGACCTGTTAGCTAGGATCAGAACCAGGTCCCAGTTTGATGACCTGTTAGCTAGGATCAGTACCAGGTCCCAGCTTGAAGACCTGTTAGCTAAGAGCAGTACCAGGTCCCAGCTTGATGACCTGTTAGCTAGGATCAGTACCAGGTCCCAGTTTGATGACCTGTTAGCTAGGATCAGTACCAGGAGTTCTGTGATGACATTCTGTTCTGGCTAGCTTCTCACCACATGGCTCCACAGAGTGAGAGTTTCACTAACATGTCTCACAAAAGTCTGAAATCTCTCCGACTGCAGCAGCATTAACCCAAAATAAAATATTTGACTGATTTAAAGACAATAAAAAAAGGTTAAAAAGATTCTGAAAGGGTTAGGGGATGATGTGGATTTGTAAAATGTCTGAATTCCGTTTTTTGTCAGGACTGTCTTTGTGATGAAAACACAACTTTAAATTGATAATTTTTTGAATGGAGTTGGGTTTGACCACTTTTGATGCCACATCAGGACGTCAGGTGAATCTAAAGGCTGACTGACAGACCGTATCAAGATTTAAATGTCTATAATGATCATGTCACTTCACTTGTGTTGCCTGCTGAAAGTTGATGTTTTTTACTTTTTTTCTAATTGATCTGCTTTTTCACGCTGCTTGAAACATTTTGCTTTTCTTTTGGTCTGAACACGACTTTGGAGTCCATCAGAGCTCTTTTTCTTCATGCTGTTTGTACTTAATAATCCTGTTTTTAAATAAAGCAAAATCTCACGCAGCTACTGATGTCATCACAACTCACCTGTTCACACCTGGTTACCCTTAAAGTTACAGACCAACATTCAGGTAAATCATATTCTGCTCGTCACTTCTGTAAGAGTAAGACGTTAAGATTTATACTTTTCAGCAGTAGGCTAAATATGGAGGCACAGCTGATTAGCATGGCATAGCATTACAGCTAAAAGCAGGGGGGGAAAGATGGACTGTTCCTGTTTAAAAATGGTAAGACTGAGGCTCTCATTCATTCAGAATAAATTACAGTCTCTAATATCTCTGTAACTCTTCATCATGTTCTCCCTCTATCGTCTCTGAGTCTAACTCTTAAAGCATATAGCTCTGATGATCTTCAGACATAAAACACAGTTAGCTCTTGTTTAGTGTGTGAATGTGGAGAGAAGCTATCTGCACCTTTACTCTGCAAAGAGCTGAAAGAGCTGCACTCTCATGCTGGTGGAGCTGCACTCTCACGCTGACGGAGCTGCACTTTCAAACAAAGCTTCTTCTCTGAATGGAGTGAGAAAGGACGACTCAAAGACAACAACACTCACATGGTTATCATGGTAACGGCTCCAGAGCGTCTCAACACATGTGGATGAAGTCTGAAGCCGCTGACTGCCTCTGCTTATATTAATAAAAGTCATGTCAATCATATTTACAGACTTTATTTACAGACCTTATATTTTCCTTTTCTCTGGAAAGTTTGAGCGTCACATCTCTTATAAATACTGCGGCGCAGTTACCACCAACTCATAGCAGACGCTTATTTTCTCACTCTAACTGTGCATGGCTGTTAGCTCCCCCTGTCTGTGAGTGAGAGTCTTTTTACAATGAGGCTGATTTACAGAGAAAGAGACGATTGTTCCCCAAATGACTAATGAATCATTTAAACACAAACAGCAGCGATGCACTTTAGGGATGTTCCAGCGGACTAATTTCAAAGTTGGTTAAACGGAAATTTAAAAAAAATAACTAAATAGTCTAAAGGTAAGAAAAGTCTCCAAATGTTGTCTTTTGGTTTGTTGAGTGTGGTTTACGATAGCATTACTAACACCTCCGGCTTGCTGTCCTCCTTGCAGGTGAACGTCTACGTGTCTGAAAGTGGTCGCTCAAAACTCCGGTCAATATATCAGTTTAATCTGCAGACAAGTTTATCTCCACTTATAGATCTAAACACTGAGAAACTGCTCTGATCCAATGAGATGCATTCTGTTCACTGTGCTTCTTTAAATCCTGGTAGTAGAGAGAGGAGAGCAGGTCCGACCGACATCAAGGTCCAAAATATTAAAGGTCCCATATTATGCTTTTTCTGGTTTTATATGCTCTTTAGTGTGTTTTCCAAGTGTCCTGTGCACTTTTGCACATCTATGTGCAAAAATTCAAAGTCCGCGGAAACGCGGCTTCTCCTATGTCCTCCTGTTAGCTGTAGCATTAGCCGCATGTAACGCTCGGTTCTAGCCCCCCTTGATAAAAATTTGTCAGTGCGGCGTCATTGTCAGTGTGAGATCACTGATCTAAGTCCATTGGCTCATTGTGGCAAGCCCAGCAGCTCATGTTGAAATTTCCGAGACGCGTGTTGAGCAACTGACCAATAACGACAGAACAGATCGGCAGACTTGGCCCACGTGGGGTCTAACAGTGTGGGCTCAGCAGAGCGTAGCTGACAGACTCAGAGCGTAGAGGGAGCAAGGAAGAGCAGTACATGAAAACAGACACTTTTTTCGGACTTTAGCTATTGTAAACGTACAAAAGTAGGTACATAGATTAAATATACAAACCCCAAAAAGGGCATAATATGGACTCTTTAATAGTTAATTTAACCAAGTACAAATGCTGGTGCCGAGTAGTGAGGGTGATGACGTTTAACTGTTAAGTTGACTTATTGCACACGTCCCTGAAAGTTTTGTATCCAGGTTTAAACCTCTCTGACCTGCTGAGTTCTCGGTCTGTTTATGATCGCAATGAGATCTTTCTGATTCAGAGTGTTTCTGTGTTTGTCTCATGAGCAGTTGCTGAGGATCAAACTGAATTCAGATCAGATGAGTCAGCTTTGTGTATTAATGTCTGCGGTCTGAGTCGATCAGTGGAACCAGCTGACTGCTCGTCAGTTTGTTTCTTCTTCTTCATGGAATCCATCAGAGACGAGAATCAGACACGTTCAGCTGCACGTTTGTTTCTCTGTGAATCACTAAAATCATTTAAAGATGATTCTGTTAAACAAAGTAAAAAAACTTTAACGATGAGATGTTTCTCAAACGTTTGTTTAGAGAGTCCAATCAGTCATACTAAATAAAACAAAATAAAGTGATCAGTTTGTGTTGTTATTGACCTAAAACTTGATAACATAATGTCCTCAACACTTAATAATTTTATTGATTTCATGTAATTTTATTTTTACTATTTTATACTATTTTTAGTATCTATCTATTTTTTGTACATTCTTATTTTTCTTTTTATATTTAAATTGTACTGTGTTCACTTTCTGTTTGCAATCTTTGCTCTTTACTGCCTGTAACACTGTAAATTTCCCCACTGTCGGATAAATAAAGGATTATCTTATCTTATCTTATCTCTTAAAATAACATCTTAAAGGTTTTTCTCTTTATTTATTAAACTACAATATTTACATTAGATTTGTACATTTGTCAAGTGGACTTTACTCTATGTTTCAACATTTTAGAAGCAGCTAATATTGTCTCGCAAGTTTTTTTAAACTTTTATAATGTTTTTATTTTTTACAGTGCATCTGACCATCTGTCACATA